GCAGTGAGGTTCTAGGGGCCAAGAGGTCAAGGAATCAGGAAGCAGAAGCTGAAGAGACAACGCAGGAAACAACTGCTTCAGTCTCAAAGGGTAGGGCCATGACCTCTGGGGTCTCAAAGCGTGGAGCCATGGCCTCTGGGGTTCAAAGGATGGGGACACAGCCTCCTAGGTTTCAAAGATTCACATCTTTACCGACTCGATTTTGGAGTATAGGGCTGCCTTTTGCGAGTGCCAGTGGAATGGGGCCAGATCCACTGCCCAAAGCTGAGGAGGTGGGGCTTCCGTGCCCAAGGGGCAGAAGAATGGGGCCTGCCGGGGCTGAGGGGGTGGAGTCGGCACTCAGATGGACTAGCAGAATGGGGCCACCCAAATCCAAGGGAGCTGCGTTGCCATTCTAGTGGGCCTGGAAGACGGAGCTGAAGCCCAGGGCTGAGGGGCCTCCACCCAGAATCTGGAGAGTGTGGCAAACACCGAGAGTCTAGAGGGCAGGGCCATTGCCTAAATGGTCTCAGAGAACAGAGGATCATTTTCAAGCCTTGAGAGCTAGTGTGTTCCGCTCACTTGCTTGGTACTCGTTATCCCTTCATTCCCTTTACTTTGTCCCATTTGTAATGGAAATGTCTAGCTTGTGCTTGTACCGCCATTGTAATTTGGAAGCAGATAACTTGTATTCTAGATTTCACAGATGAAAAGGAATTTTTGGATTTTGGACTTGGAGTTGATTTAAGATTTTTGCTATGACATGATGGGGTGAATGTGTTTTACAGTGGCAAGGACGTGAATATTTGGGGGCCTATCTTAGTTACCTAGTGCTGCTATAACAGAAATACCACAAGTGGATGGTTTTAGCAAAGAGATGTTTATTTCCATACACTAAAGTAGCCTAAAAGTCCAAATTCAGGGTGTCAGCTCCAGGGGAAGGCTTTCTCTGTTGGCCTTCTCGTCAGTGTTCCCCTGAACTAGGAGCTTCTCCGCGTGGGGACCCCAGTCCAAAGGACGTGCTCTGCTCCTGGCACTGCTTTCTTGGTGGTACAAGGTCCCCATGTCTCTCTGCTTACTTCTGTCTTTTAAATCTCAAGAGATTGCCTCAGGACACAATCCAATCTTGTAGATTGAGTCCTGCCTTACTAACACAACTGCCGCCCATCCTCCCTCATTAACATCATAGAGGCAGGATTTACAACTTATAGGAAAATCACACAATACCGGGAATCATGACCTAGCCAAATTGATACACACATTTTTGGGGGGGACATGATTCAATCCATGACAGGGCCTAAGAGTGGAATGTTATGGACTGAATTGTGTCTCCCCAAAATGTGTGTCCACTTGGCTAGGCCATGATTCCCAGTATTGTGTGTGTGTCCACCATTTTTTATCTGATGTGATTTTCCTGTGTGTTGTAAATCCTATCTCTCTGATGTTAATCCATCACGTGTCTGTCAGTTCATTGTACTGTGGTGGCTTGCATGTTGCTGTCATATTGGAAGATTTGCCACCAGTATTTCAAATACCATCATGGTCACCCTTGGTGAACAGGTTTCAGGGGAGCTTCCAGACCAAGACTCGGAAGAAGGAACTGACGGGCTACTTCTGAAAAAATTGGCCAGTGAAAACCTTATGAATAGCAACAGAACATTGTCTGATATAGTGCTGAAAGATGAGCCCCTCAGGTTGGAAGGCGCTCAAAATACGACTGGGGAAGAGCTGCCTCCTTAAAGGAAAGTCGACCTTAATGACGTGGATGGAGTCAAGCTTTCGGGACCATCATTTACTGACGTGACACGACTCAAAATGAGAAGAAACAACTGCAAACATCCATTAATAATTGGAATGTGGAATGTACGAATTATGAATCTAGGAAAATTGGAAATTGTCTGAAATGAAATGGAACGCATGCACATCAATATTCTAGGCATTAATGAGCTGAAAGGAACTGGTATTGGCCATTTTGAATCAGATAATCATATGGTCTACTATGCCAGGAACGACAACTTGTAGAAGAATGACGTTGCATTCATCGTCAAAAAGAACATTTCAAGATCTATCCTAAAGTACATTGCTGTCAGCGATAGGATAATATC